GCTGAGGAAAGTAAAACGGAAATTTTTTCAAGCATTTTTCTAATTCTGTAGCATTTTGTTCAATAACCTGTACATGATGGAAAAAGATTTTACACTCTTCTTTTTTATTTTTAGGCAGTGATGTCTTTCCTATGCGAAGCTATCGATCGAGAATACAAAACGATTTCTGTGCAATGTTTGACTCCTGCACTTGTGGCCACGAAAATGACTTACTATACCGTGAGTGCCATTTCCGGTTATTCAAGAGGAATTCAGGTCACGTCGTGGTCCACTGGGGACAAATAGAAACTACCCTGCGCGTGCGTGAGTCTAGTCGTCCTTTGCCAGATTTTTATCTACATGCTCTAGTTTACAAGTGCTGCCTGAGATGAAAATCTGCAAGTGAAAATCTGCGCAGTGGGTCACGAAAGTTTCCATTAGGTTGTCCCAAAGGGGGACTTCCTTTACAAATAAATCAAGCTATTTTGTTTTGCTGGCAAATTTGGGGTACCATTCAAAGGGCGAAGCAAGCTCTCAAAAACGACCACCAAGACCTGCCTAAATCGTAATTAGTTAAAATTTGGAGCTAAATCGGAAAATTTCTATTATCTGGAAAATTATTTGCAAAGAATATTCCTACAGACCGCCAACTTACTCTTTATACGGTACACACCTAGTAGTACAATGTTTTTACTAGATCTTTTCCATGCATAGAAACGAGAAAAGATGGTCCGAAAATAGCAAACTTTGTCCACATCTTTTTTCATGTATACGATTATATATGCAAGCCTCAATAATTATAAACCTGAAGTTCTAAATTTGTATGTGCTCTGGTAATCCAGAAATATCAAGTTTAACATAAAAAGCAGAAAAAAGCGACTTTTTTGTATTTCGAGCTATTTGTATATGTTGATGTTGAGCCGCAAAAATCCAACAAATGCTTTTTTGTGTACTACCAAGTAGGTCCGTAGAAATCTTGAATGAGATTCTATTTTCAGAATAGTTGGAAAAATCTGATTTTTGCTCCAAGTTTCACTGGGGTTACGATCTAGAGGGGTCTTTTGGGATCATATTTTGTAGGGCTTGCTTAGCACTATCGAACGGTACCCTAACCTCTGCCAGGAAAACAAAAAGCTTGATTTACCTACAAAAGAGTTTACTTTTGGGGCAACCTAATAGTAACCGGAAAGAGGTCATGGAAAGCAGAGAGGAGCATATATCTGTAAATGGTGCATTTGCAGAAAGGCTCACTTTTCGTCGTTACTCCTGAAGACTTCGCCGAACGAGCTGTGAACACCATTGGTCTCACGAAAAAGACGAGTGGATGTTTCAACCATGAGATTCAGGTACCGTATTTGATTTCGCTGCAAATTTGCTTTGAAATCTCCAATTAAAACTTGCTATTCTTGGTGGGCAAGCCACTCAAGTTTTTCAAAGTTACGGCGTTGAGTTGCAATCAGCTGCGTAGAGTATTTCTGCACTAAAATTTAACTGCTTATAGCGCTTTCATGAAACACGAAGGTAGCACATCAAATTTGGCTTGAATTTCTAAATAATACGCTAAGCGCTTCCAGAATCTGTCATCTGACTCAATAATCAACTATTTATGAAAGATATCAAAAAAATAGCACAATCAAAAACAAACAAATTAAAAACAATCTAGCCGCTGTTAGTACCTTACAGTACCTTAGTACCTTACCTAACAGAACCTTGTGAAAATGCTAAATTAAATATTCAAATATAGGAACGGTAAGTAGTTTTGAAAAGAGAACTTTTTCGACTCAGTCTCAGTTCTCTGAAAATCAGATTTATCCTTCGACGACGCATGATGCCATTCCTATGCAACTGTACATTT